CCTTTGGGTGTACAGCCAGTAATCAGATTGCTGAGTGAAATGGAATTTTATTTCTAGATCCTTGAGGAATATCCACACTGTCTTCCACAATGGTTGAACTAATTTACACTCCCACCAACAATGTCAGAGTGTTCCTATTTCTCCACATCCTCTCCAGCATCTGTTGTCTCCAGATTTTTTAATGATTGCCATTCTAATTGGAGTGAGATGGTATCTCAATGTGGTTTTGATTTGCATTTCTCTAATGACCAGTGATGATGAGCATTTTTTCACATTTTTTGACCTCATATATGTCTTCTTTTGAAAAGTGTATGTTCATATCCTTCACCAACTTTTGAATGTTTTTTTTTTTTTCTTTTGAAAATCTGCTTTAGTTCTTTGTAGATTCTGAATATTAGCCCTTTGTCAGATGGGTAGATTGGAAAATTTTTTCCCATTCTGTTGGTTGCCAGTTTACTCTGTTAATTGTTTCTTTTGCTGTGAACAAACTCTTAAGTTTTATTAGATCCCATTTGTCTATCTTGGCTTTTGTTGCCATTGCTTTTGTTGTTTTAGTCATAAAGTCCTCGCCTATGCCTAGGTCCTGAATGGTTTTGCCTAGATTTTCCTCTAAGGTTTTTATGGTGTTAGGTCTTAGTTTAAATCTTTAATCCATCTAGGGTTAATTTTAGTGTAAGGCATAAGAAGGAGGTCCAGTTTCAGCTTTCTGCACATGGCTAGCCAGTTTTCCCAACACCATTTATTAAACAGGGAACCCTTTCCTCATTGTTTCTTTTTGTCAGGTTTGTCAAAGATCAGATGGTTGTAGATGTGTGGCATTACTTCTGAGGCCTCTGTTCTGTTCTATTGGTCTGTATCTCTGTTTTGGTACCAGTACCAGGCTGTTTTGATTACTGTAGCCTTGTAGTATAGTTTGAAGTTAGGTAAGATAATGCCTCCAGCTTTGTTCTTTTTGCTTAGGATTGTCTTGGCTATGTGGGCACTCTTTTGATTTCATATGAAGTTTAAGGTGGTTTTTTCCAGTTTTGTGAAGAAGGTCAGTGGTGGCTAGACGAGGATAGCATTGAATCTCTAAATTACTTTGGGAAGTACAGCTATTTTCATGATATTGATTCTTCCTAATGATGAGCATGGAACGTTTTTCCATCTGTTTGTGTCCTCTCTTATTTCCTTGAGCAGTGGTTTGTAGTTCTCCTTGAAGAGGTCCCTACATCCTTTGTTAGTTGTATTCCTAGGTATTTTATTCTCTTCGTAGCAATTGTGAATGGGAGTTCTCTCAGGATTTGGCTCTCTGTTAGTCTGTTATTGGTGTATAGGAATGCTTGTGATATCTGCACATTGATTTTGTATCCTGAGACTTTGTTGAAGTTGCTTATCAGTTTAAGGAGGTTTTGAGCTGAGATGACAGTGTCTTCTAAATATATATTCATGTCATCTGACAATAGAGACAATCTGACTCCCTCTTTTCCTAACGGAATACCCTTTATTTCTTTTTCTTGCCTGATTGTTCTGGCTAGAACTTCCAATACTATATTGAATAGGAATGGTGAGAGAGGGCATCCTTGTCTAGTGCCAGATTTCAAAGGGAATGCTTCCAGTTTTTGCCCATTCAGTGTGATATTGGCTGTGGGTTTGTCATAAATAGCTTTTATTATTTTGAGATACATTCCATTGATATCTAGTCTATTGAGAAATGTTAGCATAAATGGCTGTCGAATTTTGTCAAACACCTTCTCCACATCTGTTGAGATAATCATGTGGTTTTTGTCTTTGTTTCTGTTTATGTGACGGATTATGTTTCTAGATTTGCCTATGTTGAACCAGCCTTGCATCCCCAGGATGAAGCCTACTTGATCATGATGGATAAGTTTTTTGATGTGCTGTTGCATTCACTTTGCCAGTGTTTTATCGAAGATTTTTGCATCTATGTTCATCGTGGATATTGGCTTGAAATTTTCTTTTTTAGTTGTGTCTCTGCCGAGTTTTGATATCAGGATGATTTGGGTCTCATAAAATGAGGTAGGAAGGATTCCCTCTTTTTGTATTGTTTAGAATAGTTTCAGAAGGAATGGGACCAACTCCTCTTTGCAAGTCTGGTAGAATTCTACAGTAAACACATCTGGACTTGGACTTTTTTTCATTGATAGGCTATTAATTGCTGCCCCAACTTCAGACCTTGTTATTGGTCTATTCAGGGATTCAACTTCTTCCTGGTTTAGTCTTGCGAGAGTGTAACTGTCCAGGAATTTATCCATTTTTCCCAAATTTACTGTTTTATGTGCATAGAGTTGTTAGTAGTAATCTCTGATGGTAGTTTGTACTTCTGTGGAATTGGTGGTGATATGCCCTTTATCATTTTTTATTGCATCTATTTGATTCTTCTCTCTTTACATTTTTACTAGTCTGGCTAGCAGTCTGTCCATTTTGTTGATCTTTTCAAAAAACCAGCTCCTGGATATATTAATTTTTGAAGGGTTTTTTCTGTCTCTATCTCTTTCAGTTCTGCTCTGACCTTAGTTATTTCTTGTCTTCTGCTAGCTTTTGAATTTGTCTTATCTTGCTCCTCTGGCTCTTTCAATTTTGACAATAAGGTGTCAATTTAAAATATTTCCTGACTTCTCATTTGGGCATTTATTGCTATAAATTTCCCCCTAGACACTGCTTTAAATGTGTCCCAGAGATTCTGGTGTGTTGTGTCTTCATTCTCATTGGTTTCAAAGAACATCTTTATTTCTGCCTTCATTTCATTGTTTATCCAGTCCTCATTCATTAGCAAGTTGTTCAGTTTCCATATAGTTGTGCAGTTTTGAGTGAATTTCTTAATCCTGAGTTCTAACTTGATTGCACTGTGGTCTGAGAGACTGTTATGATTTCTGTTCTTTTGCATTTGGTGAGGACTGATTTACTTCCAATTATGTGGTCAATTTTAGAGTAAGTACAATGTGGTGCTGAGAAGAATGTATATTCTGTGGATATGGGGTGGAGAGTTCTATAAATGTCTATTAGATCTGCTTGGTCCAGATCTGAGTTCAGGTTCTGGATATCCTTGTTGATTTTCTGTCTTGTTGATCTGTCTAAAATTGACAGTGGGGTGTGAATGTCTCCCACTATTATTGTGTGGGAGTCTAAGTCTCTTTATAGGTCATGAAGAACTTGCTTTATATATGTGGGTGCTCCTGTATTGTGTGTATATATATTTAGAATAGTTAGCTCTTCTAGTTGCATGGATCCTTTTACCATTATGTAATGCATTTCTTTGTCTCTTTTGATATTTGTTGGTTTAAAGTTCATTGTATCAGAGACTAGGATTGCAGCCCCTGCTTTTTCTTGCTCTCCACTTGTTTCATAAATATTTTTCCATCCCTTTATTTTGAGTCTATGTGTGTCTTTGCACGTGATATGTGTCTCCCGAATACAGCACACCAATGGGTCTTGACTTTTTATCCCATTTCCCAGTCTGTGTCTCTTGATTGTGGCATTTAGGCCATTTACATTCAATGTTAATATTGTTATGTTTGAATTTGGTCCTGTCGTTTTGTTACTGGTTGGTTGTTTTGCCCATTAGTTGACACAGTTTCTTCATTGCATCATTGGTCTTTACCATTTGGTATGTTTTTGCAGTTACTGGTACTGGCTGTTTCTTTTCATGTTTAGTATTTCCTTCAGAAGCTCTTATAAGGCAGGTCTGCTGGTGATGAAATCTCTCAGCAATTGCTTGCCCATGAAGGATTTTATTTCATCTTCACTTATGAAGCTTAATTTGGCTGGATATGAAATTCTGGGCTGAAAGTTGTTTTCTTTAAGGATGTTGAATATTGGCCCCCTCTCTCTTCTAGCTTGTAGAGCTTCTGCTGAGAGATCTGCTGTGAGTCTGATGGCCTTTGCTTTGTGGGTGACTCGACCTTTCTTTGTGGCTGCCCTTAGCATTTTTCCTTCAATTCAACCCTGGTCAATCTGACGATTATGTGCCTTGGGGTTATCCTTTGCCTTGCCAGATTGGGGAAGTTCTCCTGGACAATATCCTGAAGAGTCTTTTCCAGCTTGGATTCATTCTCTCTGTCACCTTCAGGTACACTGATCAAGTGTAGATTAGGTCTTTTCACATAGTCTCATATTTCTTGAAGGCTTTGTTCATTCCTTTCACTCTTTTTTCTCTAATCTTGCCTTCTCATTTTATTTCATTGAGTTGATCTTCAATCTCTGATATCCTTACTTCTACTTCATTGATTTGGTTATTGAAACTGCATATGCTTTGCAAAGTTCTCATGCTGTGTTTTTCAGCTCCATCAAATTGTTTATGTTCTTCTCTAAGATAGTTATTCAAGTTAGCATTTTGTCTAACCTTTTTTAAAGATTTTCAGTTTCCTTACATTGGGTTAGAACATGTTCTTTTAGCTCAGAGAAGTTTGTTATTACTCACCTTCTGAGGCCTGCTTCTGTCAATTCACCAAACTCATTCTCCATCCTGTTTTGTTCCCTTGCTGGTAAGGACTTGTGATTCCCTTGGAAGAGAGGCGTTCTGTTCTTTGATGGTTTCATCCTTTTTGCACTGGTTTCTTTCCATCTTTGTGGATTTATCTACCTTTGATCTTTGAAGTTGGTGATTTTGGATGACATCTCTGAGTGGACTTCCTTTCTGTTGATGTTGAAGGTATTTCTTTTTGCTTTTTAGTTTTCCTTCTAACAGTCAGGACCCTCTGCTCTATGACTGCTGGAGGTCCACTCCAGACCTTGCTTGCCTGGGAATCACCCCTGTGGGTTGTAGAACAGCAGGGATTTCTGCCTGATCTTTTCTCTGGTAGCTTCATCCCAGAAGGGTACCCTCCAGGTGTCAGTGAGAGCTCTCCTGTATGAGGCATCTTTTTGGTTATACAGGGGTCAGGAAGCCCCTTGAGGTGGCAGTCTGTCCCTTGTCTGCCTGCAGAGGCTATGTTGGGCTGTCATGGGCTCAGTCCAGTTGCTGTGTAAGGTTCCTCTAGCTTTTGTTTACATAGGTAGGTTTAGACTCACCTCAGCAATGGCAGACGCTCTTCCCCCCACCGAGCTCAATTGTCCCATGTTGAGCTTGAACTGATATGCTGGCTGTGAAACTCTCAAGTGAAAGGGCTTCAGCTTTCTGGTCTTTGTTGGGGTGGTACCTGCCAAGTCATATCACCTCTCTCCCTGCTTTCAGCTCCCCCTCTTTCTGGAGAGTGGGTACCTCCGTCCTGCAGGCACTCTTGGTGATAATTAAAATGTCTACCCAGCTCTGTGCTGACAACCCATGGCGCCAGCAGAGCTGCCATTCATATCTGTGCTGGTAACTCACTGTGCTTTTCAGCCCGGTGGGGATCTCCTGGTTTGTGGGTTGCAGAGACCGTAGGAGAAGCACGGTATCTGAACCGGAGTGCTGGGTATTTGCAGAGTCCCTGATCCTCCAGTCAGTTGCACTTCCCAGTTGAGGCAGCGCCCTGCCCTGCCTCAGTTTGCCCTCCTTGGGCTATACCCACTGTCCAACCAGTCCTATTTTTTTTTTGTTTTTTCAGTCTCAAAAATGGGGCATGTAAAAAGTAACCTGTACAACCAGTCCTATTGAAATGGACCTGGTACCTCAATTGGAAATGTGGAGATCACTCACCTTCTGCATCTCTCTTGCTGGGAACTGTGCTCTGGAGCTGCTTCTATTCAGCCATCTTGGTGGAATCTGTAAAACACTTTTATTTGTATTTAAGGTAAAGTGCTAACACATTTTTAAATTTAGTTGAAAATTAGAAATCCCAGCAAGGGGAGTAAAACTGGTCACATTTGTTATACATAAACAAAGCAAATTTTATTGCCTTTGATTTGGGTTTTCTTGGGACTTCACATCTTTTAGAATGACTCAAAAAAAAAATGAGGTTGTGGAGAAACTACAACTTTTATAAACCGTTGATGGGAATGAAAAATGGTACAGCCGCAATACAAAACAGAATGAACTTTCCTCAGAAAGCTAAATATAGAATTACTTTTAAGATTCAGCTATTCCACTTCTGGCTGTGTATCCAAAGAATTAAAGTCAGGATAGAGGAGATATACTTGTACTCCCATGTTCATTGCAGTGTTATTCACAATAGCCAAGATATAAAAGCTATCTCAATGTCCATTGGCAGACAAATGTATAAAGAAAATGTTATCTATCCATCTATCTGCCTATTTATGTATCTATCTATCTATCCATCTGAATATACACAATGGAATATTATTCAACATTTAAAAAGGAAGAAATCCTACCATTTGTGACAACACGGATAAACCTGAAGGATATTATACCAAGTGAAATAAGTCAGTCAAAGAAGAAAAAATACTGCATGATTTCACTTATATGAGATATCTAAAATAGTTAGACTCATAGAAACAAAGAGTGTAATGGTGGTTGCCAGAGGCACAAAAGGCAGAAATGGGGAGCTGCTGTTCAAGGGACATAATGTTTCAGTTACACAAGATGAACAGGTGCTAGATACCTTCGGGACAACATTGTGCCTATAGTTAACAATACTGTGTTGTGCACTTAAGATGTTTTAAGAGGGTAGATATCATGTTAAATAAGAATTTCATGGGCAAAAAATTTTAAATATATGCATACATTCACAGATTAGTAAGACAGAGACAAACAACTTCATCAAAATGTCCTGAGGCTGAAACTTGCATGGAACTTTGAAATAAGAACTAGGAGGTCAGTGTGGCTGCATACAGTATGCAGTGACTCACAGTAGAAGATGAGGTTAGTGATAGTATATGCAGGTCCCTCTAAAGCTTTCACTTTATGCTATATAGAATGGGAACTTATCTTTTTTTGTTTTTGAGACTGAGTCTTGCTCTGTCGCCAGGCTGGAGTGCAGTGGCTCAATCTTGGCTCACTGCAACCTCTGCCTCCTGGGTTCAAGCGATTCCTCCGCCTCAGCCTCCCGAGTAGCTGGGACCACAGGTGTGTCCCACCACACCCGGCTAATTTTTGTATTTTTAGTAGAGACAGGGTTTCACCATGTTGGTCAGGATGGTCTCGATCTCTTGACCTAGTGATCTGCTCACCTCAACCTCCCAAAGTGCTGGGATTAGAGGCTTGAGCCACCGTGCTTGGCTGAATGGGAATATTTTAAAGGATTTTCAACAAAGAACTGACATGACTCCCCTTATCAGTTTTTAAATTTAAGATTACATTATTTGTTATGTGAAATATAAGCTGTAAGGATCAAGGGTGGAAGCAAGTAGCCTAGTCAAGATGGTATTAGCTTCGACAGTGAACATGGAAGAAAAAGTAGTGAAAAGTAAGTGGTTCTCAATATATTCTGAAAATATGGTCAACAGAATTTGCTGATGGATTAACCATAATGTATGATATAAATCAAGGGTGACTGCAAGATATTTGGCCTAATCAACTAAAAAGATAGTCTTGCCATACAGTGAGAGGAGACAAACTGCAAATGTTTCTGTTTAAGGGAAAGATCATAAATATGGTTTAGTCAGAATACTTTAACTGATTATTAGACATTGAAGTAAAGACACTGAGCAGGCAGTTGTATAGGTGAGGTCAGAAATAGAGATATAAATTTAAGATTTATAAAAGTCCATTTTGCCTACTATAAAGGAATACTTGAGACCGGTAACTTATAAAGAAGAAAAGGTTAATTTGGTTAATGGTTATGCAGGCTGTAAAGGAAGCCAACTGCTTTTGGTAAGGACCACAGAAAGTTTCCCATCATGGCAGAAGGAGAAGAAGGAGTAGATATGTCACATGGCAAGATGAGGAGCAAGAAATAGGGCAGGGAGGTTCCAGACTCTTTTAAACAACCACATCTCAAGGGAACTAAAACAGAAGAATGCACTCATTTCCATGAGGGCAGCACCAAGCCATTCATGGGAGATTTTCCTCTATGACCCAGACACCTCCCATTAGGCCCCACTTCCAACAATGGATATCACATTTCAATATGAGATTTGTAGAGAACAAATATACAAACTATATCAAAGGGTAAAATTAAGTTTCCAAGCCATAATATTAAACGACATTATCAAGAAAGTGAACTTGAAAAAGAAATGTGGTCCAAAGACCAAATATTAAGCACTTTAATATGTGAGGTTGGAAAAATGAGCAGGAAGCATGTTTACCTGATCTGCATTTTAAAATTTAACTTACAGTATAATAAGAAAAGTAGAATTGATATTCCCCAGGGTATCAGAAAAAAGACTACTTTTATTCACTTTTTGTTAAACTGTAAGATATCTGTTGCTGTGTATATATTTCTTCAACATTTAGTGACTTAAAGGAACACACTTTTTAAAAATCTCTGTTGTTGTGGGTTAGGAATTCAGAAGTGAGTTAGATGGATTATTCTGGTTTGGGATTTTTCATGAGGTTGTAATGAAAACGTAGTCCAGGGGTCTCCTTACGGATTCACTAACAAGATGGGTTACTCACACAGCTATTTCACAGAAGGTCTCAGTTCCTCGCTGGCGATTAACAGGAGCACTGTATTAGTTCTTTCTCACGTTGCCATAAAGAACTCCCTGAGACTGGATAATATATTTTTAAAAGAGGTTTAATTGGCTCACAGTTCTGCAAGCTGTACAGGAAGCATGGCTGGGGGGCCTCAGGAAACTTACAATTTTAGCAGAAAGTGAAGGAGAAGCAGGCACATCTTACCATGGCAGAACAAGAAAAAGAGAAACATGGAAATGGGAAGTGCTACAAACTTTGAAACAACCAGATCTCGTGAGAACTCACTCGCTCTCACGAGAACAACATAGAGGAAGTCCACCCCCATGATTCAATCACCTCCCACCAAGTCCTCCCTTCCACAAGTAAAGATTACAACTGGACATGTGACTTGGGTGGAGACACAAAGCCAAACCATACCAAGGACTAATTTGCTCACAAAATTGACCTCCTCGTAGTTTTTTTTAAGTATCCTTAGAACATGGCATCTGACCTCTCCTTAGAAAGAGTGGTATAAGAGAAAGAAGAAAAAAATCCCAATGCCTTTTACAGTATATCCTAGGAAATTGCACATTATCACTTTATCACATTCCATTTTTGGAAGAGAGTCACTAAGTACAGCTCATACTCAAAGAAAATATTCGACCTCTTTCTTTTGAAGGGAGTAGTAAGAAATAACTTATAGACATGTTTTAAAATCTCAACAGTGTGGATTGGTTAAACCTTTCCAGAAATAAATATAGTCATGAAGTGAAAATTTAAAATGTGCATTCTGTTTTATTTAATAATGTCACTTCTAGAAATCTATTCTACTGCATATCCTTGTGCATCAGTGTGTGTGTATGCATACACACACACACATACATACACATGTCTATATATAGAGATTTTCATATGTTCACAGCAGCATTAGTAGTAGTAAAAATTACATACAGCTTTAGTGTCCAGCATTAAAAGAGCAGTTGAATTATAGTGCAGCTACACAGTGGGGTAATATGTAGCAGTTAAAAGAATGAGGTAGATCTCTATGTACTGAAATGAAAAGAGACACAAGATGTAATTATAGATTCTTATGAGAAATACAGTTGCAGAACATTTTCTGTAGTACTTTTGTAAAAAAAAATGACAAAATCTGTAAGTGTAAATGACGTATAAATCAAGTATGATGGATAGAATATAATCATAAAGTAATTTAATTTTATAATCTTTACCCCTTTGCATTTTATTCACTTGGGCATAACATTTCAGCCAGCAACATGAATTTTATGGTAATTCATTAGTTATACAAGGACTGTTGGTCAAAATTAAAAATATCCAATCTCACATAATAGTAAAACGTGTGCATGTTGAAAGCAGGACACTTTCAAGGGTGTGGCAGAGATGCATAACAGTTATTTCCATCTTTTCCGACATAGTATTTATATCCTTCTCTCCTAGTTGATATTCTTATTTAATTTGTCCTCCAAGGCTAGAGAATGAGGAAACTAAAGATGCAACAAAACAGCAAATTTCTCATCTAACTGAAAATGTCATAATCTGTCTTCATGTTTTCTCTGGGTTTGCCAGTCCTTTCATGCAAGCTCACTTTCTATGGACTTTCAGTTCTTCAAAAGCACTCCCCATCACTGGGGATCTCTTATCTGCAATTCCCTTGACAGGAATAAATCCTGTCCTCTTCTGGCTAGTTGCTTGCCACTTATTCCACAGCCCCAAGGCATCTGGTAGTGCAATTTCCAGGTTTTTTTTTTTTTTTTTAACAGCGATCCCCTTGCCCTTTTAGTTATTCTCTTATACATTATAACTAAGACATGCCCATACTAGCTCTCTCATATTTGGCCCACATGCAGTTTATGGGAAACAATGAGACAATTTTCCACTTGAGAGATTCTTATAGAGTAGTTGTTTTACAGCAGCCCCTGGTACTATTAATTCTCTGGCACTTCCAATCCTCCCTGACAGTGGACTGAGCAGGAAAGTTTAATGAAGTCGGAATACATAGGCATTTGAGAAAGCTGTCTATGTGCATAGAGCCTATCTACAATAGTGAGAAGAAGTGAACTCAGTCTGAGGACATACAGGACATAGAAACAACAGGTTCTTCTCTATATCCCAGAACTCATTATTCTTCCCCAAAAACCTGGTTAATATTTATCTTCTTTGTGCCCATTCTCAGTAAATGGAAAAAGAACCAACGTCCATGCATTTGATTAAGCCTCAAATCTGGGAACATTATTCCTCCTTTCCCCTCTAACCCTATAGGCAAGCAATAACGAAGTACTACCAGTTCTACCTCCTAAGTATTCGGAATCCATTAATATCTTTCCAACTACGCTGGTCTACCCCAGTCTAGGCATCACCTCTTACTGACATTATTGCAATCTAACTGAAATACTTATCCCTAGTATTGCCTCCTTCTGATTTGTGTTTCTTATTGCAGCTCTAGAAATATTCCTGAAATGTAAATATGATTATGTCAGTCCTCTTAAATTCATCTGTGATTTTCCATGATGAGGATATATATAATTTGGTATTTATTCCATATACCTCATATCTTACCATTCTCCATCTTTAACATAACATCTACTGTTACTAAACTATATTTAATCCCCTACATATGCTATATACTTTTTCTTGCATCTTGACCCTTGTAAATGCTAGCTCTAAAATGTGTTTGCCTAAAATGTGTTTCTCCATACATTTCATTTTACCCAGCCAACTTTCAGTCATCTTTCAGATGTAAGATAAATAGGTTGACCATATATTTCAATTTTCTGTAATAATTATTATTTTGTCCTGTAGTCTTTTGCACAATTATTAATGATATACAATTCACGTTAAAATGTGAGCTGGTTTAGGGTGATTATTTTCTATAATTTTCTGTAAGATAGAGATTTCTTCCTTCAGGAAATCTTCCCTGACTTTCCCAAGTCTATGTTGAAACCCCTTTTATGTAAAACAATGGAAACTCATACATTCCTTTGTTTATTACTTATCTGTCTTACGTTTTAGAACTGTCAGTTCCAGGCCGGGCGCAGTGGCTCATGCC